GTGTGTGTGTGTGTGTGTGTGTGTGTGTGTGTGTGTGTGTGTGTGTGCGCGCGCGCGCGCGCGCACGTGTGTGTGTAGGTGTTTATGGGGCAGATGAAGTCTTCTCTCCCCCTCTCCTCCCACCGTGGGGACATCTCCTCCCTTCCTGCAGGGAGCACAGGAAGGAGACTGCAGGTGTTTCTGACCTCCCCTCACTGCCTTGGGGACCTGGTGGTAGAGCCATCTGGCTTGGGGCGTGGACGGCCCCTTCCAGCCCCCATTTTGGCGGCCGGTTGGCTTCATTTCGTGTGCCTACTTCTGTCTCCAGGTACTGGCTGCCTGGCCTATTGTGGAGGGGGGGCATGAGGCCCCTGCAGGCTCAGTGGGGAAGCGTGTGGTCTCCCTGTCATGTCGGCCTCAGCCCAAGGAGGGAGGAAAGCAGCGAGTGCCATGTATTTGCAGCCTTGTGTTCATTTCCATAGAACCTGGACCTGACAGAGTTTCCAAGACAGACCCTAGAAATCCTCTGCCTGAGTCCCCCATCTGGACCCTAACTGGAGTCACATGCTGGGGCCTGGGAGGGTTCCTGAAACCTGGAACTTACTAAGTCCTGACCCCGGCCCTCTCTACTCCCTCCTCCTGGGCAGACACCTGCCCCTTGTGCTCTGGTCCCTGCACTGTGCTCCCCTCTCCCCTGCTCCCACCAGGGTCCCGTGCTGAGTGGGAGGGTGAGGGGAGCCTCGTGAAGGTGTGGAGTGGGGGGCAGAAGTGAGTTCCTCCAAGATCCAAACCAAAGCCCAATGTTGGAGGGCATCAGGGGGAGGGGCCAGGAGCAAGGGATTAGAAATGGGAGGAAGGGGACTTCCCTGGCGGGCCAGTGGTTAAGACTCCACGCTTCCAGTGCAGGGGGTGCGGGTTCCATCCCTGGTCGGGGAACTAAGATACCACGTGCCGCATGGTGCGGCCATAAAAAGAAAAAAGAAATGGGGAGAAGACAGAGATGGGAGAAAGAGAAGAAGGAGGTGCAGAGACAGGGAGAGAAGGAGGGAGGGAGACCAGGCGATGGGGGGTGGGGTGGATTTAGAGGGTACAGAAGTGGAGAAAGTGACCAGAGAGGGAGGCGTGATGGATAGAGCACCTGGAGGTGGGAGGGGAGGTGGCCAGAGACGAGGAAGGAACGGGGATGGGAAGGAGGCAAAGGGAGAGGTGAGCTGTTGGAGGCCAGGTGCAGGGGGAGAAAGGAAGGGGAAGGAGAGGAGGATAGAGGGGACAGGACTCGGAGGAATGGGGAGCAGCTGCTGCGTGCCCACTGTGCGAGGGGAGAGCCTACCACCCACGGGGGCCACAGACCCCTGTGGGCTGCTGGTGGGAAGGTTAGGACCTACCTCCTCAGAGGCGGAGGCGGGGCCCAGGCAGCCGTGCCCCACCCCATTGGGGTAGAGGCGCCACATCAAGGGAACTGTCTAGGTGATTGCTGAGCAAGTTAGCGCCACTGGAGTGGGTTAGTGGTAGAGAAAGGGAGGGTGGTTCCCCTTGGGGTGGTTGGACAGTGATTCCCTGTTACCATCCACCCAGCCAGCTGCTGTGGGGCAGTGGGAGACGCACCCAGGAGCTTGGGGTTAGGAGGGGAGTGTTGTTGGTGGGGCTGAAGGAGCACCAGGGTGCCTTAGGGAAGGGAAAGAGGCTGGAGTGGGTACCAAACCAAAGCCCTGTCCCTGAAGCTTTTTAGCAGAGGTGGGAGCAGAGCGGGAAACATGTTTCAACCAGAGACCCCAGGTGAGGCTGAAGTGTCACCAAGCCGGGGCCCAGATGGCTCTCCGGGGCCAGGAAGCCATCACAGCAAGGATGTCTGTAGTTTGCTCTCACCCACGTCCGGCAACTTGGCTTAAGCCTTCGGGAGGACGCTGAAGCAGAGATGGTCCGTTCCCAGATCGGTCTCTTGGTCCCTGAAAGACGCCGAGCTTTGAGCGGCCCACTGAGGCACTCCTCCCCCAGCCGTGCCTGGGCCAGAGGGCTCTGGCACCATCTGGTTTCCTTTGCCTGGTGTGGGACTATCTCAGGAGAGGCCAATGCAGCTCCAGCCTAGTGGGGGTTCAGAGCACTGCTTGTTCAAGTCCTTCCGGGTCTTGGGATGTGTGAACTTTCCTCTCTGGGGACCAGTACCCATGGAGGAAAACGCCATGGGTAGGATCAAGATCTTTTTCAGGCCTGCTATAGCCAAGAAGTTGAGAGCTTTTAGACAAGGCTGTAGGGAAGAATTCTTTGGCCACCTTTTGAAGTTCCTACTTGGGCACAGGGGAGTCACCCTTCTCCAGCTTCCAGTGTGAACTGAGAAAGGGAAACCCTCTCTCTGGAGAAGCTGGGACCTTCCCAGCACGAGAAACCTCCGCAGGCCCCTGCCTGGCTCAGGGCTAGCCTTCGGGGGGGACTGGAGTTTCCTGAGAAGGGAACAAGGGAGCCACAGTCCTCCCCTGAGCTCTGATCAGCAGAGGGCCTATGCTGTGTGTCATTAGGATAGCTTGGTGTTGTCTACACCCCATTAGTAAGTTCCGTCTGAACGTGTCCTCACTGTTCATCGTCCAATTTGGTAACATTGATTTTGGTCCAGACCCCTTCTGCTGCTGCTGGGTTTGAGCTTCAGTGCAGGTGGAATGACATTCAAATAAAGAAACACTTTATATCACCCATGCTAGCTTCTCCTTCTCTGAGTTGGCCCCCAGGGGATTAAGAGGGGCGAGATTCAACCTGACCCTTTGTACCAGCCGTGGCTGCGTATTACCAGACCTTATGTGGAGGTAGCCAGACCATGACTGACATGGAACCCAGCACCACTTTCAATCCTGGCTTTCATCCTCAAGGACACCTCATGGCCTGAAGTGGCTGCCTGGACTCGTCACTTTGATCCACAATTTCATTTTAAAGAGACTTCTGGAGATCCCATAGGACTGAGTCACACTGCACACCTAACTGAAATGTAATCTGTTAACAAATAAAATTGTTGTTGTTTCCAAGGCGAAAGGAGAGAAGAGCTGGCAGTCTCTGCCAGCTCCTGATTACATGGGCTTGAAAACAAGGCTCCACCCTTTTCTGCCTGTGTGGCCTTGGTCAAGTCCTTTCACTTCTCTCTAAAGTAAGGAACAAATGAGGGAATGCGTGTGAATTGCTTTGCAGTGTCTTGCACATAGTTAACATGCCCCATGTGTCAGCTACATTGATTATAATTTTTGCACTTGGGAATTGAATCTTCATTCAACACATTTTGAGCACATAGTATCTGCTAGGAACTTAAAGTAACAAAATCAGAGTTTCTGTCTTAAGGGTCTGGTTGGGGAGATGAAGTCTGCCTGGTGCAAGGTACTGTGGGTACCCCAGGTAGGGATACCTTGCATGGCTTTAGGTGGGGTGGGTAGAGCAGGGGATGGACAATTTTAACTGTAGGATGAACAGGAGGTAGGCAGGCAGGCAGGGGCAAGGAGAGCCATTCATGAAAGACAGCGCAGCTTGGGGAAAAAGGCTGAGATGAGAAACCGAAATGAACCTGTGAAGAAATAAGAGCAATTTAGAAACGCTGAACTGTAAACTGTGAGGTAGGGAGGGTCAGAGATTAATCTGGAGAGATCAGCACAGGCCAGATGATGACTAAGCTCTGATGCTGTGTACAGCAGTTCAGACCTAAGAGCAATGGGGCAGGAATTTAAGCAGGAAAAGGACACAATTAGATAGGCATTTCAGAAAGATCACTCTGGTTGTAGTGTTAGGGGGTTGAGTTAGATGGAGACAATTTTAAGAAAAAGTAAAGCAGAAGTCTGGCCTGAAGCAAGGTGGTGGCAGTGCTTTTGAGAGAGGTAAGGAATTCAATATTTAGGAAATAGAAATTACACTTAGTAACTGACTGATTGTGGGGATAATGGATACAGTGGCGTCAAGGAGGAGAGTTAAATTTTTTGCTTGGGGGGAAAAGAAAAATTTGCCAGTATAGCAGGGGAGCAAGATAATCAGTTCAATTTGAGACATGCATGTGGGACATCCTGGTGGACTGTCCAGTAGTCAGTTGACTTAATTAATTTGGGAGCTCAAGAGAAAGATTTGGGCCAGAAACACAAACACATGCAGGTAATGGTTGACATATGAAGTACAGATGAGCTTGTTCAGGGTGACTGTGTAGTGTGAAAAGAGCATGGGGCTGCAAAATGCTGGAAAACAACAACATATAAAGGTCAGAGGAATGGATGTCCAGAGAGTCAGAGCTATGACGAGAACCATGAGAATGTGGTGTTAGCGAAACCAAGGATTTAGAATTCAAGGGGAAGGTCAACTGATCAGATGGAGCAGAGGTCCAGAATTAGGGACTTAAAAATGTGTCTCCTAGATTTGGGAACAAGGAAGCTACTGCTGGATTTGGTAAAAGCCTGTTCAGAGGAGTGAGGTTAGAGCCAAAATGAGGTCTGTTCAGGAAGAGAATGGGAGGTGACTGAGTGCGGGTCACCTTCTGGAGAAGCGTGTCTAAGAAGGGAGAATCGGTGACTGGAACTCTTTCAGGAAATCTTAAGTAGAGTGAACAAGCAGTGGACAAATACCAGCATGTAATCCAGAGGAGGAGGAGGAGTTCTGAATGTAGGTCATGGCCGGTAAGAGTTTAAAGATAAAGAGAGGATGACTAATGGAAGAGGCGAGGAAGCCTCTTTTTGGGGGTAAAGTACAACGTTTAGGGAGCTCTTGCCCGATGGCGTCCAATTCTTCAGTGAAGCAGGAGGCAACACTGTCTACTGAAAGAGAAGGGAATGAGCAAGGGGTTTGAGAAGAATTATGAAAGTTTGGAACAGTTGCTAAAGGAGCTGTCCAAGGATATAAAAGGATCAAGAAAAGGACTGATGGGTGACCATGAATATGTGGTGACACCAACAGATGGGAGGGCAGGCACAGAAGGTAGACTATAGACTGAAAGGG